CTCTTCACAGGATGTCAATGTGCGTAAGACGCAATGCCCAGGGTTCTCATACCACGTATCAGGGGTAAATTCTTTTTCTCTCGGGTTCTCCACACTTGTCAGGGGGGAAACTCGTCTCGTCTCTCTATCTCGTCCCCTTGAGGTACGGGATCGGGAAAGTCACTTTAACTTTACAGTCAAATAAGGCACACACAACGAAATACGTTTCAGCTCTCGTCTTAGTCGGTCAATCGAGCACTCTATCAGACACAGCGCCCTGGGGAAAAATCCCCAAGACTCTCGCAAGGCTGACCCAAGACTCGCCCAAGACTGGACTGCGTCAAGGCTCGCCCCAAGACTCTCTCGGACTGACTGCGTCTGTCGTGGAGTATTCGCCAAGACCAACTCAAACTCTCTTTATTCATTTTCAAAACTCTAACCAATTACAGAGCAGTAAAAAGACTCTAGGGCGTAACCTTCAATCATAAAGCCAATCACACTAAGTACTGAATACGTCATATCTTTTGATTAATCGTTCACTACATTAATAACTACGGATGTCAGAATAGCGACGGTATCTTGTAATTAGTTCCAAACCACTGAGCCAAGTTCCGTCCAAAACTTCAAATAGACCTGAACGATGACAGACATAACACAGCAATTCGCTAATAATCAGTTAATTAAGTCGGTCAACAGATAGCAAAAACAAATTCATGACATTTTAATAATAGTTAGCCACGTTTTTCGACTTTGTTCCTAATTTTGACATTCTGACTTCAGTATATATATAGTTACGATCTACGATACGAAGAGGTGGGAGATGTGGTGTCACTGGAAAACTTTGTGAAAGTGCTCTACATGGGGAATTGAATTCGTACTGTCCTATACAAACCATATAAACATCACATAGCCGTAAATCTTCCAGTATAATATCGTTGCTAAAATCACAGACAACTATAATTAAACACAGGTTTAATTAATGTCATACGTTCAATTCACAGACCAAGATGGATCGACATTTCAAACATCATATTGTCGCCTTTGGCAGGCGTTGCTATGTGATAAACCTTTGATGAACATTAGAATATGTACAAATGCGCAGCAGGGTATGTTGTGGATTAAGGTAGCGAGAAGAGAGACAATTTCTTTAAGAATATTTTTACACAACATGAAATCACTTCTTTAAACTTTAATAATTGACAAACGGTGGACAGTTTGCTTGCTTTAGATGAATGATATTTATTTACAATTATATACAGCCATACGTTCACAATACAAACTCTTAAATACAGTAATTTAGTCCTACATTAGTAATATACAAGAATTAAATATGAAAATCCACAGATATGTTATATTATTATTATTATATATTGAAATTACAATTCGGTCTAATTTGTGAGACACTTAACTATGTATGAAGAAAATGAAGTCAATGAAGAAAAATGTGTCAATCGAACTATTATCAGCTGAATAACATATTTTAATTTTGATTTATGGATTTATGGCCATGATATGTGAGATGATTGGTTCTTTGTTAGTATCCATATAAAGTAGTGGGGAAAATGAACACAGATCGCGTAATTAACAGTCAACACAACAACTATCGAACATAAAATATTATAATACCAATTTTACTTGTTTATATCTTTCAATCTGCGATTCTCTAAACTACTTACAGTAATAGTCAACTGCCAAGTACTTGTACACGCCATGGCAAGGATTGCCAAAATCACGTACTGAAGCATATACTCTGCACGATCTCCTGCCTTCGCATCGTGAACGAACAACGCCAAGACTGGAGATAGCACTGCAGTTGACACCGTCTCGAATAGCTCGCCGTAACGGTGTCTCGCAGATATCATTGCGATTTCGTCCGAATACTGCATCGACCACGTGAATATCCAGGGGACCACAGTCAATCACGACTCTGTCATCCTCACAAGCGATCGCTTGCAAAATCTTAGTTGCAGTATTCTTATCTGTAATTTAAAAAATGAATATATCTTAGGGAGTTTAGAATGAAAGAAAACATATATTATAGTTCAAACTATCAATGTTGATTGATATTTGTTGTCAACAATTATATGTACGGTTATTGCTTTGAAGAAAAAAATATACTAACTTCTCTCGCAAATAAATGGGCGAAGAGCACCACACTTTTCATTACTCAAGTCGACGTCATTGTCACCAAGTACGACTTCTGTGCAATAACTAGACTGTCCAATCTTCTTCTCGTATGGAGTTATTTCTCTTTGTCTATTGGAACTTTCCTAATTATTGAGGGAAAGCGACAACATGAAAATATGTGAAGTCTTGTGTATTGATTATATGTGTACAAGATGCGATGGTGTTTTTCTTTTCTGTACAATTGGAATGGTATGTGGTGGAGCTGTGACTATCGTATTATTATAATATTAAACTGTTTGAAACAATACTGTAGTAAGAGTGAGTTTGTAATGTCACTAGGTGCTTGGTTTAAAAGGCGGCAATACTAACACAGAACGTTTATAGATTCAAATTTCGCAACTGAACAAGTCAACGTACCTGCATTCCAACCCAAAAAGCTAAAAACATTTCTGGACTGTTGGAATCACTTTCTGATTCAATAATGTTGTAAAGCAGCGCAGCCACATCACTATCTGATATTTGATTCATCATCACAAGTTCTGATTGCCTCAGTTCACACTGTTCTTTTGCCTCGTCCCATGCCAAGGGTTCATTTCCAACATAGAGGCAAGAATTATGTAAAGATATCCAACCGTCTTCACAGTAATCTAAATAGATAATACAATTATTGACAATTGAATAGTTAGACTATATTACAAATTGAATTCTAGATATATCCGAACATACAACATATATTCACCATTTTCACCAGCAGCATCGTCGGCGTCATCATCACTACGGTCCTCACTGTTATCAAATTGACACAAGTAAGAATGCACATCGTCACAATTGTCGGCAGCCCATTTAAACGACATGGAACCACTGAAAAACATGAGATAACAGTAAAAGTTCGGGTGCCAATTGTATATAGAACTTTTAGCGAGTAGAATCATGGAATATTCAACTAGAGTTACTTACCGTAGTACTGCACAATTTTCAGATCGATCCAATCCAGGTTGATGTGGTCCCCAATTAGTAAACCATAGTGGTTTTCCTTCCTTGGCTCTCCACGTGCCCTCTCGATAACTGTCAGTTGCACCGATCCAGTAATCATCGTCAGTGTTTTCTGAAGAATCGACGATTGTACCAATGGCGTTGTGTTGGGTCAATTCGTTCTTTATCAGAGCTATCTCACCACCTAATATTTCACACGACCTCATCGCACCTTGCCAGGTTTTCGCGTCTTTAAACACCTCAAAACGTGCGTTATTTCCTGTTAAGAAAGAGTTAATTGTAAAAAAAATATTGTGTATAAGACCAATTCATACAGATTCTAAGGAGAATTCGAATTTAACTTTAAAATATGACATTTTTAAATATGATCAATGAATTTATGTCGCCTTTGTCATTTAGAAATAACACATAATTACCTCCATAAATACCATGCAAAGAGAGAGAAAATAGCACGATGAGACGTGTTTGAAGTTCCATGTTTACTGCAGTATGTTCACATCAAATGGCCACGTTGCAGTTATAACATATGGCACTCAACAAGCTTTTTATCACTAATGCTCCTTCCTCCGCCCATAGCTCCAGGAAACAATCTTTTTATTTTTATCACCAATAGTCTGTTAACTTGTATTACAAGGGATTAACATCATTAAAGTAATCACGATACAAATACAACAATATATTGTCGAATATGTAATAGATTATAGAGTATAACATTAATGACGTCAATAAAATAGGAGTGTCCTTATTATATAGCAGCTTTTTTAAATAAACAATTAACAACAATGTAGGTCTGAAACTGCTGACGTTTTATAAACTTTCGTTTGAAAATGTGTAGACTTGCATATTATCTAAATAGGCAACAGATGTTGTTGGTAATTCAAACTTCTACTTTCTTACTACCTGGAGGGTGAAGTGTTTAATGTCGCCCACATGACCATTACGTGCAATTGCTCTGATAAGTTATGTCGTTATGTATTTACTTTTACTTAATTAGGTTATACTTTTAATCAGTAATACCTTTTATAGTAATTTTAATATTATAACTCGCTGGACATTTTCTAAATGAGCATCGTTTCACTAACGTATACGCACGTCCCACCTGCTTGTTTTATTATATGCATAGCACGCTGCATAATCAGTCTACTCCAACGCAGATTGTTATATACGTCATGATATATAAATGTGCACTTATGTTAATTTGTGAAGAAACATCTGACCATACCGATCAGTTTGTTATAGTTAGTACTGATAGTATAATAAATAAAACCTTTCTTGTAGTGTAACAAATAATAGAAACTGGAATTAGTTATGCTTATTGGGTAAACAAAATGTATTATATGTATTTCCATTTCATGCTATTCCCATAGCCAAATATTTTAATGGTGATACTCCAGTCCATATATCGTTCAGTTTTTACTTCAAATAATGCGCACAATTTTAGTGTGGGCAACGTACGTTTAATTACCGTTTGGCTAAGTTATGAAGCTCTCCGCCGATTGATTGAAAAAGAACTTCAACTTTTATTTATTATTGTTGTTTATCTATATTTTATATTTTCTTATATTTTGATTGAAATTTTAAATAGTCAAGTCATACCTTTTCACTAATGGCTGATGAAGGCATCTGTTAAAATCCTGTGACAAGGATATAATCGATGAGGCACCTGACTGAAAAGCCAGTGCGTAAGCGAGTTCTATGGCCTGATAGATATGAGAGTCGAGGGTTCGTTTTTGGTTGAAACTTGCATGCTTGAGTAATAGTGTGTTTTACTGAACAAATATGTCTGTGTCTAGTATAAAGTAACATGTCTTTCTCATAAGATGAATCACGTGATCCAAATTGATACATCACATTACTCAAAAAACCTCTTATGATAGAACAACGATTCAATACACCCACATGTAGGTTTCCTGAAAATACATTGAATAAAAATACAAAAGTGATTTTAACAAATGCTTTACAGGCTGATTTGTCGCAGGTGATAATGCTGCCCATATACCACATACTTGGTCAGACTAAAAGCGACACTGGTATTGTTTTTGAAACCACTCTTGTTGATAGCAACGTGAAGATACGCTTGACATTGTTTCAATACAAGCGTCACCTGTGGGAATTCTTACAAAGCCCATAGTGGGTGTCCGTACTAGCGCTATGACAAAAGAATCGAGTCTGGTCTTCAGGGTAACGCCTTCATCTCTCCACAGAACACATCGGTCAGAAAACAACAGCGCTGGTATCTCACTCTGGTGGTGGCTAGAGGCCAGAGTAAACTAGGAATCTGTCTTAATTGCTCCTACTAAAAGTCTTGAAAAAGTTTTAAACTTCTTGAATATGCGAAACCTCACATTAATTGGTAAAATACAAATCATTAAATCTGTTGTTATACCCAAATTTCTTTATATGTTAAATTAATATTAATCAATCTGATGTCAAAAAGATTAACTCAAAAATATTCTCCTTTATTTGGGGGGGTCGAGATAGAGTTGCGCGTAATACTATGATAGGTGACATAGGCCATGGTGGGTTAGGGATGTTGGATATTTGTGCTATGCAGAAAGCTTTTAAAATTAACTGGGTTAAAAGGTATTTGTCATCATATTGTCATCCATGGAAACGGTTCCTAGATCTTTATTTAAAACCACTTGGGGGACAATTATTTTTTAGATGCAACCTCTCAATAAACGCACTACATATTAAATTACCACCGTTTTATTGGGAAATGCTAAATGTATGGAGTAATGTTATACAGTATGAGTTTATTTCCCCTGCATATGAGATTATATGGAATAATAAAACATTCTTATTCAAACTAAAAGTATATTTTATTCAGATTTAAGGATCTAGGAATTGTTTATATAGCTGACATCTTTAATGAGAGGGTACGGTTAAAATTGGAATGACTTAATTCATTGG